TAAACTCAGTTTCCAAAAGTCTGAGAGACAGGGTTTGGCTAAGAGAAAGGGACATGGGACATGACTGGTATGAGCAAGGGACAGAGCTATAAGGGACAGATCAAGCAGCTTTGGCTCTTACTTGGGTCAAATGACATAATAATAGGAGAGATTGTAAACAGATGAGGTACATGATCTGACCTTTTTTTTTTTTTTTTTTTTTTTTTGAGATTGGATCTCACTAATTCAGGGTAGCCTCACACTCAAGATCTTCCTGCCTCATCCTCACAAGTGCTAGGATTATACATGTTTGTTACCACTCTTACTTTAATCTGGCCTTTAAAAATGCTGTGTTGAGAGTAAACTAACAATTAAAGTAGAGGGACCAATCAGGAAGTTACAATATGACTATTTCAGAAAGAGATGGCAGCGGTTTGGAGAATGCTGAAGATGGTAAAATGTCAGCCCCTGGATGTCATTTGAAAGTAAAACCCACATGGTGTGCAGACAGGTTATATCTGAGATTTGCTAGAGTGGCTGACTCCAGAGTTTTTACTTGAGTCCTCCAAGAGAGAAATTTGTCAATCCTTTATTAGAATGTAGAAAACTGTGGTTGGGAAGGGTTCTGGAGAAGTTCAGGGCTTTAGTTTGTCAAGTTTACTTTGTCATATGGACACCCTATTGACACTATTTGGTATTACTTAACTTTATGGCAGTACATCTTTCAGAATTTCTTATACTGAGAGTCTCTGGAAAGGACCTTTTTAAAAATTACATTTTATTTATTTGTATGCATGCACATGTGCTCATGTGCCACTGTGTGTGTGTGTGTGTGTGTGTGTGTGTGTGTGTGTGTGTGTGTATGTGTGTGTATTAGAGGACAATTTGCATGAATCAGTTCTCTTCTTCCACCATGGGGGTAGTAGGGATCAAACTCAGGTTATCAGCTGGCCCAGCAGACATGTTTCTTGTATGTCACAAATAGTATTGAATTTTGCCTCCACTTTTTAATATAGTTTGATGAGGTATAGAATTCCAAGGACAATGATTTTCCTTCAGCATTTTGGAGATACTATGTTTTTTATTATTGCTAATGAGAAACTTATCTTTGATATAATTGATTTTTTTAAACTGTCTATAATTCTCTAGCATTAACATCTCTTTTGAAAGCACACTTTCATTTAGAATATTTCTAATGTCTTTGTCTAATTTTGTTGTTGTTGTTCTTTTGAGACAGCATCTCACTCTGTAGCCCTGTCAGACTTGGAACTCATGATATAGACCAGGCTAACCTAGAAGTCACAGATATCTGAGCATGCTGCTGCCTCCTGAGTGTTGGGATTAAAGGCGGATGCCACCGTACCTGGATAGTATCTTAGTTTAGATGCCTGTTCTGTTCTTTCAGTACAGCTTGTTTTTCATAATTTCTTGCACTTTAAATTTTCAAACAGGGTTTCAATAGCTTAGGCTAGCTTCCAGCTCACTATGTAGCCAACTCATGACCCTCCCTACCTTTACCTGCTGAGTGCTGGGATTAAAGGTTTGTACTATCCCTGGCAAATACATATTTTCTTTTTATTTCTTTACCTTTGAGGCACTAGTATTAAACCCAGGGCCTTGCATGTGCTAGATAAGTACTCTGCCATTGAACTACATCCCCAGTCCTCCTATACTTTTTAAATAGAAATTATTCCTTCATTTATCTTTTGAGTATACTAAAAGTAAGTTATTTTAAGGCCTTTGCCAGTCTGCTCTAATTGTAAAATTAGTTCCATATGGAGTGAATTTGTATTCTAATAATTTTAACTCATCTTAATATAAAATTCTTTGTGTATTGTGAATTTTGGCTTGTGGGCTGTAGTTGGAAACCTTTTGACATACTTGTTTACTTATTTCTGTATTTGGACTTATTCTTCTAGCTAAGAATGTAGATCAGATAGTGTCATTTGGTTCATCTCTTCGTAGTCCAATTGGAATATCACAGATCTAGCCACCAAGTTGGTAGACAGCCTGGTACAAAGTCTCCCTGAACCCATAAATTTTATTGGCTTCAACCCCACCTCTGGTAGCCCCTTTTCAGTCTTCTCTTATTGGAGAGGAAGCCAGTGAAAATCTTTTTCTTGGAGAAAGACTGGTTATCCTATAGAAACTTATTTCACCACTGCTATTGCTAAATCTGTCATGTAGTAAGTCTCTTGTGTCAGCATTTTGACTCCTTGTAATTCCATTCACTTTACCCCTATGGTTATCTTGTTCTTAGACTCAGCTGACTTTAGAGCTTCTATTAGTATATTTTGGATATTGTGAGAATATTGGTGTTGTGTAAATGTGGGAGGATATTGTGTCAAAATCTAAGCCAACTCTGTATCTTTCTCAGAAATTCCATTGAAACTCTTTAAAATTTGTATTTCTCATAATTAGACAATATTTTTATAAAATGACTAGTGAGAACCATGTTCCAAGAGTAAACTCATTTAATCTAACAACTTCCATGTGACAGAAGAGGAAAATGAGTAGAGAGTTTCTTTAACTTGCCTAGATCACAGCTATTATGTGGCCTAGAAAGGATCTAAACCTAGTAACTCAGCTCCATAATTAGTGTTCCTAAACTCTGTGTCTTACATGGCTTATCCATCCTGACTTCTTAGTTGGTGTTTTTAACTTCTGTGATATAGCTCCTCATCTGGCAGAGGAAATATCTTCTCATACATTTGTTTGTTGCAAGGGTGATGCAAGATCAGATGTGAAAAGCCTGGTGGTTTTGACCTGATATATAATAAGTATGCAATAATGTGTTTCTTTTTTGTAGTAGGCAAGTATATTTCCAGTATGGTAACTTAAATGAAACTTGTGAGGTTTTGTTTAAAGCACAGTTGTTAGAGTTCTATTATTGGACCAGATTTTCCTGTGTGACTGTGAGGTGGGAGGTCTGGCCCAGGAGAGAAGCAGATCTAGGAAGCAAGGTATCAAAGAAACAGAATCCATTAGCAAAGTCCAGACTGGAAACCAGAGAGTTAAAGAATTCATCAGAAAAAGCTGGTTTGAGCCTGGGAAATTCCACACCAGAACAAGGTCTGGATTGGATGGTAGGAGTGAATGCCTCAAGCATTTCCCAGAGCTCCTTCCACAGGTTGCTAAGTCTTTAGCTATGGGCACAGAGGGCTCTTTTGAGGACATTTTTCCAGATTTGACCTTGTAGAACATTCTGTTGGCCTTGTTTTAAAATTCCCCAAATTAACCAGGAGCATTCGGTCCTTAGTATGCAATACCCAAAGGAATAAATAGGCCTGGCTACATGTTTACAGTTAAAATGGCCAAGAGTCTAAGTTAAGGAATTGCCTCTGGGACCTTGGCTGAAGCTCGTTCCCTGTCATCTCTGGCTTCCTCAACTCTAGCATGTAGTCCTTCTACCATTCTTCCTAAAATCTTCAAAGTCTAGCTCATATTCCACTTCTTCCAAACATAGGCAGGCTCACTGGCTCTATTGAGAAGCATCATTGAAATGGCATCTTGGTGTACTCGTATTTCAGTGCACTTATGGGCTCAGAGTAAGCAGGAAAGTTCCTATCATGTCCTGCAGTTCCTTTCTCCCTGTAGTCTTTCCTACACAGTAAATTCCTGTAGAAGACATGGTCTTAGACTTCAACCTTGTCTTTAAACCCATTGGTCCTGCTGTGGGACAGAAAATACAAGGAAATGAAATTTGTAGATATCACCAGATCAAGTTGGTTTTATTTTCTTCACTTTTGTATGTAACTCAAACTTAGGTAGTTAGATCACATATACAATAATGACTTTTGTTTTAATTCCAACCCCCTGCCTATATGGTGGGCTAAATTAACCCATATATTTTATTCTTTGCAATTGTCATCATCATCATCCTCTTCTTCTTCCTCCTTTTCTTTTCTTTTTACTTTCTTTCTTTCTCTCTCTTTCTCTTTCTCTCGTTCTTTTTTCTCTTCTATTCTGTTCTTTCCTCTTCCCTCCCCCTCCCCCTCTGCTCAGCCAGAGACTTGTGAGGAGGCCTAATGGCCTGAGTTTGATCCTCTGATCTCACAGGAAGGCAGGAAAGAATCAGTTCTTTAAGAGTTGTGCCCTGACCTACACACACACACACACACACACACACACTACATTAAAAACAAAACAAAATGAAACAAAACTCCTGATACAGTGTTCAAATAACCTGTAAAATTCTTGCCTCTTCTCAGATAAAATTTATTCTTAATACTGTACAGATTTTTAAAATATTTATTTGTGGGAGGCCACATTGTCAGTGACATTAAAATAATTTCTAAAATATTTTACATGCATTTAGTGTGATTATGTGTAATCTGTATAAATAAAAAGAACATCATAGCGCTACAGTTACAATGTCTTTGTTCGAAATTAGATGTCTTATAAAACAAGTAAACCCTCCACAGAACATTTTGAGTGTGGAGACAAGCCTCATGATAAAGCCCATTTTCAGATAAGACAGTAGCTATAAGAAATAGAACCTTTAAGTCCAATGACACATAGTAAAGATGGTGTCTTAGTTACTTTTCCTGTTGCTCTGATAAGATACCCTGAAAGAAGCAACTTAAGGGAAAAGGGGTTTATTTTTGTTCACAGTTTGAGGATACAGTTAGTTCATCATTACAAGAAAGTCAAGGAAGAGAGTGGTGAATGCCCATGCTCAGCTAGCCTCTTCCTTTTTGTACAGTGCAGGGTTCCAACCCAGGGAATGGTGCCACCCACAGTTGATGGATCTTCCCACTTCAGTTAACCTAAGATAATCCTCAACAGGCATACCAAGAAACTTGTCTCTTGGGTGATGCTGGATTTAATTAAGTTGACACTTGAAAGTAACCATTATAGAAGGTATTAGGTTAAAAAGTACAAGTAGGATGTTTTTTAGTTTCACTCTTCCCAATGCAAAGATGTTTATTATTTCCAGCAGTGTTAATGAACATCATTAGTTTGCACTTTTACATTTAGCATCCGATAATTCTCAAACATTTGCTTCTATGTACCATTAGGTGCCCTGATGTAAATCTGCAAAAACTGCCAGAGCAGTGGTTACAGAGTGTTTTGGAGGAAATTAAATGCAGTGATCCCTCATCTAAACTCTGTGCTACAAGGCGCAGTGCTGGAATTCCTTTCTACATACAGGTATTTATCTATAAGACTGACTGTTAGTCTGTTTGTGCTTTGATATATTGTGTTTTAGCATTCTTTATATGTGAATGAGCATATTGCATTGAGTCATTTCTGTCTTTTCAGTACCACAGCATTTGTGACTTTATTGTTTTAATTTTTATTACATTTATTTTTATATGTATATGTGTATGTACGTATGGACGTGTGCATGTTATGGCATACATGTGGGGGTCAGAGGATTACTTGCCAGAGTTGATTCTCTCTTTCCATCATGTGGATCCCCAGGATCAAACTCAGGTCATTATGCTTCATGGCAAGTACCTTTACCCATTGAACCAACCCTCCAGTCCCTCTGTGACTTTTTAAATGTGTGGACAATATGTTCTATGACAGATCTGTTCTTGGAACAAGAGGTCAATCTTGTAATCAGAGGGTATTATAGATTTCCAGTAAGCAGAAATCACTGTGGCATGTTGATTGTTCACTTCTAGGATATATCCATAGTTGAGATTTTTAAAAAGTGTTCATCCATTAAAAAAATTTATAATCTTGGTACTGGACAGATGACTCAGCCATTAAGAACACTGGCTGTTCTTACAGAAGAGACCCAGGTTCGAATCCCAACACCTACATGATATCTAACAACTGTCTGTAACTCCAGTTCCAGGGGATCTGATGCCCTCTTCTGTCATCCGCTGGCACTGCACAACATGAATGCACTTATACACATGCAGGCATAACACTCATACACCTAAATAAAAATCAATAAACCAAAATAATAAAAAATCATAATCTTAATAGTAGCTAACATTTCTCAGTGATTATATCACATATATTGTTTCATTCAATTCTTGCCCAAACTCTATGAGATAGGTACAGGTATCATAAATATGTATTCCAAGTGAAAAAACTGGGCTAGTAGAAGTGACTTGCCAAAGGCCACAGGGATAGTAAGAATTGAGCAAAGGACTGAACCCAGTTTGGTTCATCTCACTCTTGATTGTTTCCTCATATGAGACTATGTGTGAGTGCAATTCCTGAACACAGATGAAAGCATTCTGGAGTCATCGTTGGCCACCTTAGTTTTCGAAATAGTTATACCTCATAAGTTGCTTCATATCAACATATGCAATTATTGCTGCCGATTGGTAAATATTTCTTTTTTATGGTATTGAAAAATCGGACTTTTACCTTCATGATACCAAACAGTAAACAACAGTGCCCTCACAATAGTACATCAGACACCATCCTTGTTTAATAAAGATCCACAAATGGAAGTAAAATGAGGCCTCTTTTTAAGTAACCCTGTATTTTTTCCTTCCTTCTATTTATTTTTTTCTTCTAATTCTTAGTCTTTTTTTGACTTTATATGCCCATGGGACACCAATTGCAGAAGTTATTGACAGAGTTCGTTGGGTTAGTTCTGCTGGTTGAGTTTGTATGTCCCCCAGAAAGGAGCTCCTGCTTGATCTGAGCCATTCTGGATCAGTGTGGTTTCCTACTAGTAGCTCTTTCTGAACTGGTATGTTTATGTGTCATTCTTCTCTCTGAGGACAAACATTCGGTAGCTACAGATTCTCCTGCATGTTTGCGCTATGTGCTTATTCTACTAGGGATTTTCACCCTTTTCTAAGAACTGGTCATAATGATAGAGTGATTGACCATTCATTTTTCTGAGCCCAGACTCACCAGGCAGCAAACTTTGGCCAGATATTTGAGGTAGTGGAGGCCATGGTTCTGGGAAGAAGACTTTTCAGTAATTGAATGTAGCTTTCTTAATTATTTTAGTGGGATAAGATTTCAACTATTAGAAAAATGTGCACAAAGAGATTGCCATTTCCCTTAGCATGACTTGCTAATAAAGTGTGTGTGTGTATATATATATATATATATATATATTTT